AATTACTAAAAATTTTGATATGGTCAGCGCGAATCTAAAAATACCGCGGATTGTCCATTTCCCCGAAACCGCGAACTTTAGGCCCCGCGAATCTAAAGAGACTTACAGTATTTATAAAAACTACTCTTGCTTCTGTCATCTGAGTCAATTTAAGGCTGTGCACATGAAAAGAAGGGAGTGACATCACCTAGTTTGACATCTGTGCTACAACAGCCAAGGTTTCAGCACCAGGGACAGAAACACACTTTAGGCTGGATGGATATCGTATCCAGAACCATGCCTACCTATCTCTATGCATGAATGGGTTAGGATTAGGAACAGGCACAGTTCTGGATAGTCTCTGTGTATCCAAGCATGTAGATTTGCCCCAGGAACGGCTCTCGATACATGTGGACTATCCAGAAGAGCAAGTTCTGGATAAACCATGGTTCAGGATACAACAATGGAAGCCAGGTCAAACACAAGGACTACAATGTGTCCCGTGATGATGACAAGCATAACTATAAAGCATACAGTGCAAACTACACTGTATGTTATCATGAAAGTTCATCTGTTTTGGCAGTTACATGTTAAGAGTTAAAACTTTAGATCCAACACAAAAAGTTTTCTCACCTAGAGCTTTTGACCAGTCACTCTGGTCTTTCTCAGTAGACTGACCTACACTTCAAAGAAGCCACGTGACAAGCCTCACTGGGTCAGTCTACAGAGGAAGACCAGAGTGACTGGTCGAAAGCTCTAGGCGAGAGAACTTTTTGTGTTTTGGATCAAAGTTTAAACTCTAAACATACACTGTATGTTAATGTTAACCCTTGTCCTGCTGGACTTTTTCACACAATATTTTCGAGTAATTTGAAGTCGTAATCAGGTCACAGACCCTTCACTTTTTTTGCCCTGCGGCGGCATGGTTACTTCCGAATTCATTGTGTTTCGCTGCGGTGTGATGCGTTGCATGAGAAACACCCCGAAATTGTACATACACAGGACGCTACATAGATGGTACCATATGTGTAACCCATATATATATATGGGTCCCGCAGGACAAGGGTTTTGAGAAGAGGACACTCACAGTTTTCCCCCTGGCCCCGCTGCGTGCAGCCGACACGATGAGCTGTCCCAGACTCTCCCCTGTCATCTCTCCTCCTGTCAGCTCATCTGCTGAGTCATTCACACTGGAAAATATAAGCGAAGCATTAGGATGAGTAATTATGGGAAACATAACAGTTTTTGTTCAGTTTCTTCCTTCTCCAAACACATAAAGTCAATGACTTGGACCAGACTTCCGTCACTATAATAACTAGAAAGGTAACATTTGCAAAGCAAATGCATAATGTTTACTTTGCATATGGTCTGCTCTGTTAATTCTTACTCAAATACATTTATATATATGGTGAGACAGGAGTATAAATCCCTCCTAGTACTATAAAATTGCAACATGATGGACCCAACACTAGTTACCATGGTGAGAAACATCAACAAATCAGGTCATTGACCAGGTCAGAGGTCAGTGTTTGGAACGGAAGAAGAGGAAACGTAGCAAAAACAATATGTTTTCCTTCGGTAAACATAACTAGTGCTGAAGACTCCCTATGGGGTTGGATTACATTATTAAGGGGTTGGTCACCATATACATATACATGTAATGTGTTTGAGTAAGAATAAACAAAGCAGTTGTTTGTTGGGATAGATCATGTGAAGGTAAACATAACTTATTGATCTTTTTATCGAGGTTTACCACATTTATGGAAGGATGTCAGGATGTGGAAACAGGCAAATGACACCATTTCAAAATTTCGACCTGGAGACCAGACTGTAAGGTTTGATCCACTCACACCAGGAAGACCACTACTCTTTTCATTTCTCCTATGCTAAAATACTAGGAGAATTTACTATAGGTACCTTGTTGTACTCATTTCCTCCCATTCGTCCCCTTCAAAGCCATCAAACAGCTCACTCATCTGTTCTATGGACTTATTCAGGAACTTCTGGTGCTGTAGAGGAGAGAAAAACTATGTTATACTTATATGTATGTATGTATGTATGTATGTACATATATATACTTATAGCACCAAGAAAATTAAGAGTTTTAATTAAGACTAACTTTCATTAAGGGTTTAAGTTTGCAACTGGCTGCATTTAGATGGCAGCATTTACAATTTTGAAAATAAAACAGTGGAAAGATTGTGTTAACTTTCAGCCTGCTAAGGTACATGTTCGGCACCAAATTTGTACTGGCTGTTGGCTTAAGCAGCAGGGTTAACCCACAGGACAGAGACAAGTGGCGTGCTGCCATCAAGCCCCAGATGTACTGTGCAAGCATGTCTAACCCTCGGAAGACGAGGAACAACAGACGATAAACCGGACAGCGAGTGAGAGTGAGTGTAGAAGGTTAACATTGTATTTGATCAAAGACAACATACATGTTATAAAGCTCACAGTTTTATACGTTTCCAGCAACTTTTCCTCTTAATCTGAGAAGCCTAACAGTATAAATAATAAACAAACCTTTTTGACAGTTGATTTTGCTGACGTCTTGGCAGAGTTGATGGCCAGTCTCACTCTCATCTTCTGTTGAGCCTGTTTGTTCCTCTGACTCTCAGACTGCATCTGTGACTTCAGACGTTTGACTTCCGCCTTCAGGCCGCTGGATTCCGTCTAAAGTATGATTTTCATGTGCATAATGGTCAAAGCTACAAACGTATGTTTGCACAAATCGATTTCTACTAATTACCTGCAGTTATTAGAGAATAACCTAATAGCCTAATCAAAAGCTAGTTATTCTCTAATAACTACGGGTAATTTGTAGATATCAATTTGTGCAAAAATTAATGTACATTTTTAGCTTCGACTATTTTGCACGTGAAATCATACTTTCATTTGTACCAAAGTGCTGTATTATAACTTTAAAGATAATTATATTTGGGGCAATAAAATATGATGACGCCATCCATATGGTCCATAAAATTATATTCATAACCCTTTTGTACCCAGGTATCAATAGTCAGTACAACAGTTACTACTGTTCTTTCTAAATTTCTTTGTGACAAAACGATGGAAAGATAAAATGCCAAATAACCAGTGAGGAAACACCCTCAGACGTACAACCAGAACTAGCCTTGCTGTGCCATCTCATGCACTTGCACAACCGGTATCTGGAACCAGTTCCATGCACCAGCTGGCCCTTCATCCACACTGGAGTTCAGATCTGGAACCAACCCCCTGAAACTGTTGTGGGTACCATCAACAACAACAGCCTGCAGTCTTTCAAAGTCAGAGTCCACCGACATCTCCTTTATTGTAAATGAGACCACTTGGCAGGTGTGAGCCATTGATTGCCCACTAGATTGTTTCTGACCATGTGTATGTACAATCAAGTGGGTATTGCTCACTATAGCACATTATAAAAAACAAACCTTAAGGCTGCTGATTTCTGACTTCAGCTCGGCAATCTCTGACTGGAGCTCTGCATTCTCCTCGCTCAGGGCCGTGTTTTCTGACTGGAGGTTGTCTGACTCCTCTCGGTGGTCGGATAGTTCCTTCCTCAACTGGTTCACTTCATTTCTTAGTGTTCTGTGGTAATGAAAAACAAAGCTTAACATTCATATTCATATAAAGAATACCTTGTGGTTCCACGTCCTCCATCAGAAACTTAAAAAATGGCACCTTTTTTTCCAATTTGGCTTTTTCCAGTATGTTGCAATGGTTGTATTCTGGAGGGACAGAATAGTTACTTCTAAATAATTCATTATGAGTGAAAACACAACAGATCTACATATATTGTACACATATTTCAATATGATGTTACATTTTTACATTTTCCAATCATTTTTGTGTCCCTGGAAGTCAAAGTTCAAATGGATTAGAGACTGACATGTCTCCAAAATGGAAGTAAAACACAAATAAAAACTGCAATGATTATTACTCTAACCCTTAACATGTACCTTTTCTCCTTCACTAGATTCTCCTTGTCCTCAGTCAGCTTTCTGTTGTCCTTCTCCAGCGATGAAGTCAGCTCTTTATTCTCCTTCTCCAGATTCTTTAACCTCTTTTCCAGGGTCTTATTCTGCAGAGGAAGTGACACAGAATCATCAATAAATTCACAACAACACTAAATACTTCAAGGAGGTGTGAAATCTTTGATGTCTTGTTGAAATGAACAAAATAAACATTCACAGCCATCTTTTAGCATAGTCATATATCTGTCATACCACCTAGCTCAGTGCCTAGAAGTGAGAGAGAGAAAGAGAGATAGATAGATAGAGATAGAAAGAGAGAGAAAGCTGCATACCTTCCTTAGAGTCTCCTGTAGCTCTTCTGCCACAGACTTCTTCCTGGGCGTGCTGGTGGCACGGCCTCCAGACCGGTCTGCCAAGTCCTTCTCTGCAAGCTGGAACATCAGCTCTGGGTGGGGAAACAAAACCCATTTTTTTGTTTTAGTTTGATTTTGAAATATATTCTACAAAAACAAAACCATGGAACACATATTAATAATATGTATAATATACAATGTAAGCAGTGCACAAGTGTAACAACAAAACTGAAATGTAAAATCAGGAAACAATGGTCTACGATCATAAAAATTAAAGACTACCCATATCAATGTTTATCACAAAATAAAGGAACTGTCAGTTGTTCTTCAAACATTAAAATTTGTTCCCTTCTAGATACATGTATATACCTGACAGCAACATGTATGGACACCTGTCTAGGAACGGTCTCTGTAAGTCACAAGAATTGAGTTTGAAATTAAAATTTTTGGTTCTATCCTGTGACAAAGGATTCGTTACAAAGCCCTGACCGGCCTATGCCTAAGTAAGAGTAACATACACACATGTATGGTCCGTGCATCTGTTAGAAAACTCTGACCAGCCCTGTCTTACCTTCCCTCTCCTGTTGCAGCATGTTGCTGAGTTCGTTGACGTTGGCCTCCAGCTGGGAGACCTGGACCTTCAACAGATCCACCTCCTCCTGTAGGTTCATTCTGAACAAACATAAATAACAAGGCTTAAAATGTTTGCAGTCACTACTGTCCAGGAAGACCACTCAGGGAACCAATCTGGTCTATGTGGACAGGTGGCCACTATATACAGGATTGTCACACCCAGCTAGGTTTATTTCTTTATTGATTCTGGAAAGTCACAAATATTTCCTGACCTCTCGAGCATGAGTTTCTTGTTCTCCTGTCTGAAGTAAGTCAGCTCGTTCCACACCGTGTCGCTGTCCTCCTGCTGAAGGCTGCGCGGGTCCGACCGACGAGCCTTCACACGCTTTCCACTCCTGGGGAAAAAATGGGAGGAAACAAAGTAATCTCAAAACAGTTTAGCTGACACTGAAGAGCTAATCTTCCACGGGTCATGACAGACAAGACAGGCACTACACAATAGTATTTTTCAGGTTCACTGTACCTGGAAAATTCTCCTAATGTGCAAAAATTGAGTGTAACAAGTCGTTCGGTGTGATATAGCTCGCTGCCGCCGCGCCGTGTGCCTGCAAAGCTGGTGCGTTAGGCCAAAGGGCGGTTATACCAGCTATACTGAAGCAGATACAGATTGTATTTTCATTTCCTGATATTATTTCTATCAGTTTTAGGCCGCTATATTTCTTTTATTACTTCTTCATTGTTATTTAAAACAAACTGTAGAAATTGTAAAATCATGAAGGGGAGGACTTTAAATAAGCCATTGCGGCTTTTCTTCCTGCTCTTGCACATTTATTTCTTTTGTATTATTTTGTATAATTTTTCATTACCTTCGCCAAGAAGGTTATGTTTTCAGGGGCGTTCGTGTATGTGTGTGTGTGTGTGTCTGTCAACACGATAACTTGAGAAGGCCTTGATGGATTGTCTTGATACTTGGTAGGTGGGTAGGTCTTGATGAGACCTCAAAATGATTAGATTTTGGACCCCCTAGCGGCTTGTTATGGTACTGCAGCTGAACTTCCGGTTTTGATATCTCATGATCTAGACATGCTATGGTGATGAAATTTAGATGGTAGGTAGCTCTTGTGCTGGGAAAGAAGTGACGTGAGTTTAGGCCCCCTAGCGGCTTGCTCTGGAACTGCAGGGATAAATTCTTGAAAATATTCAAAAGGGGATAACTCAAGAACCGGTTGACGGATCGTCGTGATTTTTGGTATGTAGGTAGCTTACGTGATGCTTAATATAATTATGTGACAATTATGCAAATATGGATGTAATTTGCATAATTTATGGGGAATTCTATAAATCAGCTGCATTCCATGATAGGACAATTGAAGCTTGTGACAATGGTAATTGACAACGAGAGAAACACAGGAAGATGTTGATTATGTTAATAATGACTTAATTTGCATAATTAATGAGAAAATTTTATAATTATGTAATGATAACTGCCTGGAATTTCATACTTGTGGTAATTGAAGGTTAAATTGAGGTGAACATCATTAAACATAATTTATTCAAATCAGGACCTCATTTGCATAATTTAGTAGGAAATGCTAGAATGCATTCTTTGTTAATATAAGACTGTCTTTTGGTTGAGATTATGATAAAATGATATAATTCATGAAAATTAGGTTGCTATTTCTTAAATCAGGGGGGAATAATCTAATCTAAACTTTGTCAGTCATTAAGATAAACATCATTTGGCGAAGGTATGAGATCGGGGAACTCTAGTTATGTATGTATATGTGCTAAATGAAATAAATAACTAAATATACATGAAGCCTACTAGTAGTCAATACTCCAGATACAATAAATTCCATCGAAAATAGTGAGACAGATGTAGTCAGTTGCTAGATCTTTTGTAGAACCTTACTTCTCGTGTTCCTCATAAGTCTTGATCTGTTCCTTGAGGATGCGGTGGCTGGACTGTAAAGCTCTCAGCCGGTTCAGTCGGTTGTCGTGAGCCTTCTTCAGTTCAGTCAACTCATTGTCCTGTAATGTTAAAACACCTGTCAGTCAACTTTACCAATCACCTTTCAAATGGGATTGCACTTAATTTTTGAACCCCATGGAAAGGTATGGGAGTCACAAAAATTATAAAATCATTCTTGTTCTACTTTTCTTCAGAAAAGAAGCATAAGTTTTTGCTGACATTCTACTTTTTTTTATTTTATGCGGTGCACCCCAAAATTTCTTGTGCACCCAATATTTTAGGTTGAGCTAACTGAGGGCTTGCTCATTCATCAATTATGAATTCATCACAGAAAAACTTAACTTGGCAGTTACATGTACCTTGAGTTTGAGTTTCTTGAGGAGTTCTGCAGCTTTTTTCTCGGCGGTGTCCAGTCTCCTCTGCTGCTCGATCACCCCCATCTTACGGTTAGGAGACAGGGATCTCGCCCTAGCTGGGATTCTTCCTCCTGCACCACCCTTTAAAGAAATTTGATTTTATTTATTGAAATTGCAACAGTGCAGTACATGTGGGACAAAGACAGCTGAATCTGATGCAGAAACAAATACAAATACAGGACAGACAATATTCTTCACTTTTGACTGAAGTGGGGAAAGTCAAGTAGAGTGCCTTTCAATGGCAAAGTCAAGTAGAGTGCCTTTCAATTGCATGTCAGGACTCAAACCCGGGACCTCTTGGTTCCATGTCGAGCACTCTGCTGTTGCGCCACGACCCCACGACCCAAAAAATTTAAAAGATTTTTCTCCATTCTAAAATGCAAGAGCAGATATGAAATTTAAAACAAATTCAGCTGAAAATGTTTTAAAACCTCTTGCCAATATTAATGCTTTTGGCACACTTGCTGTAGTTGTACTGTCAGTATTTATTTACTACATGTACCTTTCTTCCCCTCTGAAGTGGTGAGGCCCCAGGAGAAGAAGCTGTTCCCTTCTCAAGACTTTTCAATTGCCTGCATAAAAAGACAACAATGATTTGATTATGAAGACTTGCACATCCTGGTCTGCACCAGACAACCATGAATTTGGAAAAATCAAAGTCGGTTGCCTGGTTGAGGGAGGAGTGGTCAGGAGCAAAATCATGGGATTGGGAAGGTCCTGAATGTGTGACAGGTGTATAAAACATAAAGGCAGTGTGACCTGTTCCTCTCCCTGAGTTTGTCCTTCAGCAGCTGGATCTCCGTGTCCTGACTCTCCAGCCGACACTCCAGCTGGATGGCATCTGTAGTCACCTGGGTGTCCTGGGAAAACACAGGAGAATGTTTTACTACAGTTACTAAAACCAAGAAATCAGAGATTTTGGACTTTTGAGAAGTAATTTCAGTTTCAGGTTCATCCTATTTCCGTTTCCATTCTGCCTGTGTTGGACCTTTTGACCTCTGGTCATTCTGTCAATCTTTCCCGACCATGTGCTGTCAACCTACTATCAAGTTCACCCCATTTCCTGTGACTGAGCTTTTGACCTACTGTCATTCTGTCTGTCAAAGTTCCTACCACTCAGATGTTCTCAACCTACAGTGTATTATGTCTAGACACACAAACCCATAGCTCAGCCACCCAAAACAATACCTCCACACCTGGAAGCAACAAATTGAATATAATTTTATACACATGTAATGTCTCCCCTACACTGCAAAAATGAGGTTCAAACAAAGAGACAGATCCACAACATGCAGGGCATCGAAATTCTGCTAGGAGGCCTTAATAACAAAATGTATCTTTAACAGTTACTGATATAGCAACTTGTACTTTGAGGCTGAAGTTTCCAAATCTTTGAGGTTCAATAAAAGTTACTAAAGGTACTAAGACTTAGGCTGGGTACTTCAAGCCCTATCAAGCTACAGATAATGTGTTCAGATTCTGTTCTCTGTTCATTTTCTGTACTTCTGATTTGTGAATGTAGGTAGACCTTGTCTAAACTAAAAGGAATAAGTGAATACATTAAAGACCACAAACACAAAAGTTTTATGAAGCGAATGAAACACATTCAAGTTTTCCTCCCTCTTCTGCTTTTATGATGTCCACTTGCTATATATTCTATTCAAAATGTCTGAGTACCTTGGGAATAAATTGGTGTGGCCTAAACTTATACTGACATGCAACATTGAGATCAATGCTAACAAAGTGGAACGAACGAGTGAGAAGACAGCCCTTATGGGAGTTCCACCAGTATCCACAACACAAAAATATAGTGATGACAACGT